ACGGGTAGATGAAAGTTAACATGGCAAATTCTGGTTGCTTTGGACGGTCCATTATATGTATTAGTTAACCGTATGGACAATGGTGGATGCAGGTATAGGCCAGCTAGAGCAGCCGCCCTAACTGGATCTGCCGGGAACAAATTTTTTTTTGTTGGCCCGGGAACAAGTTTTTTTGTTGGCAACAGCTAAATAAATTATATTATATAATTGATAATTCATTTTATGTACAAACATTCTACGTAGTTGAGTTGGTTGGAGCTACCATAATCAAATTAGAGCTCACGAGTTCGAAACACTTTCAAAGCAATTTGTATTGCAAATTTTCTAATTCGACAATTTTTACCAAAAGTAATGCAAAGGAAGCGATTAGAATATGTAACCTTCTTTAAGATTGTTGAGGATCAACCTTCTTTAAAATTGTTGAGGACTTGACCACTGTGGCACTATAAGGATCCTGTCACTCAATGTATCAAAATTTGTTATGTTCTTTAAAAAATTTAATGCAATTAAATCGATTCAAACCTTTTCTCTATTTTTTGGATTATGCAAAGTTTGACTGCTGGGACAGTATTGAATTTTGTCACAAAATTAACCCCCGTTTGTTTCCCATTATTTGCCCATTAAAATGAAAAATATGGCCGTTATCCATCACATCAAGCCTCCATATTTGATTTTCTATCTCTAGTGTGGGGCCCGTAACGGCTATATTTTTTATTCTCATTTTTACATTAATATGTACCAAACGGGGCCTTAATGTATCTTCATTTTTAGCAAAATAATTGTTATATTTAATTTTAAATATTTTATTGCGACCGACGAAAATAGTCAACCACTGCCAGTGTTTACTCAAAATGCTTGATTCGCCTCTACGTGTGGAGTGGTAAAAAGGATTCACATGGACCCTAAATTATAGTAGATGATGCTTAGTTTGTTGTTTGTATGTTGTAAGTGTCTAGTGCACGTCTAGAGACACAAAACTAAACACTTGTTCTCCATGCACATAGTAATACTTCTGTTATGTCAACAAAGATAGCCTAGTATGTGGTTTGATATTTACATTTTTTATCAGTACAGTGAGTTGCGCATAATTCACATTTCCTGTCAGTGCAATCTTTTTGCTTTCATGCTTTGTTGTGGTTTGTTAAGGAATGTGATATTATTTGATAGGTAGTAGTAGTACAGATGGTTCAAGTTTCTTAAACATTGCTATTGGAATGCCTAAAATGTCCCATTTTGAAAAATGTGGAACCAAATTCAAGCGAATTTTGACATGTGAAGTTTTTGATGAACCTCGTTTCGAGTCAATTTTCTTATGAAGTTATCTAGTTTTTATATAAACTTTCTGTAAACCAAGTTGAAGTTGAATTATCTTAAAGATGCTATCTTGCTAAAAAAAATTTTGATGTATCTGTTGTATTTAAAAAATGAATCTAAAACCTTCCCCAGAAGTTTTTGGTTTTCATTTCATCAGAAACTATTAGCTGGAACATAATATGGCACATGAGGATTAGGTAAATGTATTTGAGACATACTATGTTGATTCTCCTGGATTTGTTATGTCAACATTATCAACCTACAGGGTGCATGTTGATTAGGTAAAAGTATTTGAGAGAAAGTATGTTGTTAGATGCATACTTGAGAACCTTTTATATGTGCTGACCACCTTGTAAATTTATTAATATTCATAAATTTTGATCTAGTCGAACATGTTTGATGTCAAGCTTGCTGGGGATTAAGGTTGTTGATGATGTAAAGCTAATCTTGCTAATTTAAGATGGTGGGACACGCAATTGTCATTTTCAGCTTGATTTATGCTGGCGTACTTTCTCACATTAATTTCAGGATCTTTCCAACAAAATAAACTAGTTGACATTTTATACATGCATATTCTATTGTCATTTACCAGAACGATAGTATTGTTATCGGTGAATTTTGCATTTTTATTTTATTTTTTAATCATATTTAGTGCTTTCATACTGTATATAGGATAGGTATGTTGCAGTACAAGATGTCCATTGATCCTGCCAGTTCAGTGTAACTGATTTGGCTCCCATTTATCTGCTACTTATACTGTTTAGATTTGAAAGTTCTTTACTTTCTATAGTTTGAAAGAGAGATGGATAAATAGAAGGAATCAAGGAAAGAAATACTATGCTTTGACTTGCGATGACATTGATTTTTCTGACAGTGATTGAGAATGAACTCGCTAAAAAGGCGTGCTTGAATATGTATCCTCAACTATCCAATATTGTCAGTATTGACAAAATGAATGATGCAACCACGAGTTCGGAATTTAACAACACCTCGGAATTGGAGATTCTCAAGAGGGATCACAAGGTTTATGTTATTTTACTTCTGGCTCTTAACAAGTCAAACCTTTCTCCCATGGATTGCATAGAAACTGCAGTCTGGGTTTCCAGCACTGATAATTATCCACGGGAAAGTGTAGTTAATACTCTGGAGCCAAGTGACAGACTTAATAGGAGATTTTCATACTGGTCTAGTGAAGGTCAAAGTGATCCTTACATACCTGAGACATTAATGTATAAACTGAGTGACGGTATTTGGCTTGTCACAGAGATTGATATACAACCCTTTGAAGGTAATTATTGAGCTTAATTTTTTGCTACTTACCATTCCTTGTTAATTACTTTGGCTTTTTGTTTGAGCATATCTTTGTGGTGCTTGTTACTAATAGAATAATATTATGTTCCTTTAGCCTTTTTCCAGTCGGGCAAACCCATATATTCAGCAAAATCAGTAAGATTTCGAATAAATTATCCTAAATCCCCTCAGGATGTTGCAATACAACTCAGACGTCGTCCACATCTAAAGCCAGCTGATGACATGTTTGAATGGACATACACTTCGCCAGAGTTTCCAATGACACAGGTTTTTGTTTGTACTGTGGTTTAATTTTAAACATCTCTGCTTTTGATATTTGTTCTCGTCTTTCCGCTTCATCACATCTGGACTCTAATCACATTTCTTCTCTGTGTGTGGCACTGTTCAGTTTTTTTTCTCACTTGGTTGATGGGAACGGGAGTGTTGTTTTTTGTCACAATAATATCATTTACTTAATTCGTTCCCCACGCACTCCACCCAGTTTTTGTGTGTGTATTGTCAAGAGAGCCTCTACTCATCTTTAGATGTATCTAGAAGTAGTTCATACTGGAAGGATCATCTTCCGATAATGTTTTTCTCCGAACAGGAAAATCGTTTGCAGCCATTCAAGCTACCAGAACCCGTTCTTTGCATGGGTGGATATTTGCAGATTGAGTTGCTGGGTAGGGTCCAAAGACAAGAAATGGATGGATTGTTCTACATATGGTGCGTTCCCTTACACTTTCCCTTGTCCTGTATCCTGCATTCTTTATCCTTATCCTTACCCTTACCCTGTTACTATATTGGAATTAGAAACAGTAAAGCAGTTTAGTAAGTTGATTTGCACGGTTAATTGTATTTTCACTTGAAATCTTCAAATTCCATGGAGATTGTCGAATAAGATCAAGGGATTAAAATATGATCGTCGAATAATATATAATTCCAATTCAAGGAAAAGTTGATGCATTTATGTGGTTGACTTTGACATTTTTGTGGTAAATTAAAAGTTACTAAAAAACTGCAGGGGTGTTTTCTTTGCTGTTTTCCAGTTTTTGAAAACGTCCAAAACGCGTTTGGTCACTCATTTCAAAAAATGCATTTTCAAAAATAAGGAAAAATTTATGACTGAAAATGTAGAACAATTTTTTTTTTTTTTGGGCATTTTCAGTTAAAAAACCTAAAACGCGGAAAACATGCCGTTTTTGATTTTTTTTCCTACTTAGCAGTACTTTTAAAATAGTAAATTCACCAAGTTTAAAATATATATTATCTGGTAATATATTAGCTTAAAATTATTATGTTTTACTAAATAATCAAATTAATCGAATAAATGTCATAAAACAATTTCTTAACATTTATTATTTTATTTTTGTAGCAAGAAAATATAGTAAATTCACCAAGTTTAAAATATATATTATTTGATAATGTATTAGCTTAAAATTATTATGTTTTACTAAATAATCAAATTAGTTGAATAAATGTCATAATTTTTTTTAAATTTATTATTTATTTTTGTAGTACGAAAAATAGTAAATTTACCAAGTTTTAAAATATATATTATCTGATAATGTATAAGCTTAAAATTATTATGTTTTATCAAATAATCAAATTAATTGAATAAATGTTATAAAACAATTTCTAAAATTTTTAAACCAAATGCATTTTCTAGTTTTCTATTTTGAGAAATCGTTTTTCAAAATAACAAACCAAACACGTTTTCTATAATTCAAAAATAGTTCTTCAAAACAGAAAATGTTTTTTGTTTTCAAAAATGAAGATAGAAAACGCAAACCAACCGCACCCTACATATTTTGTTCAGTCAAAAATTTGGTAGCATGTTCGCAACTACTATCCATTTATTAATCACATATTTTGTGGGATCCAATACTATACCTTCTACAATATTACTAATGATTTTAACTGAATACTCACCTTGTATAAGTGAATTGGCAAGTAAAACTTCCAATGCCTAAAACACCCAAGCACACAAATTTATAGAGGTTCACTCTACATCAACTTGCTCCCTTTCCCTTGCAAATTTTTCACTATAACAAAAATGCAGATTGCATAGTTTTATCCTGCCACCCGTGCCTTATCCATGAGAAAAATGCTACCCCTCTCCCATATTTCTGTATATCACGTAGGAAACTATAGCGACCTAATACCAACAGTGCCATTAGGTTCCCTAGAACCCAACAGGAGGTTGAAAGAATCGATCATATACAGCTTAATGAAGCCTCTTCCTCGATGAATTTTGCAGTAACTGTAGCATGTTATGTTGATTGTTCGTTTTGTGTGCGTGGCTGCATGTTGGATTTAGTGTCTATACTTGTGTATATGTGACTCCGTACATTTTGTAACTAAAATGACATGACTCTTATCACTAAACACTGCAGCGTGGATCATGTTCGAGTTCTTGGGAGGCCCCTGTATCCTGCTTTTGACGTAGTGATCATAGCACCACGTGGAAAGTTGTTGCTCAAATATAATCCTATGGCTTTTAGCTCTGTTCTGAAAAGCGTTTCCATTGATGAAATCACGCACATGCGCTAACTAGAAGAAAAGATGATGTTGGAGCGCCCAAGTGTACTGAATATTTTGTCGCGTGAGAAGAGGAGGACTAAGATATGGATGAAGTTTTTACTCTGTAATTTTGCTGCATTCCGGTCTTCCCATAAGTTGTATATTTCTAGACTTCAATGCACTCCTCGTGAGTTATCTTATTTTCCATTCTACCACTTGAGAACAGTTAACCCTTTAGATTTTCTCGAATAGAAATAATGTATTATGAAGTGTTTGCAATACTTGGCCCTTTTTGGCTTAGCTAACAGATTTTCAGTAGATTTGATAAAAATTGAGGAAACGCTTGATTGACGAATTGATAAGGGCTTAGCTAACAATTAGATTTTCGGTAGATTTGATAAAAATTGAGGAAATGCTTGATTGAAAAATTGATAAAGGTTGTAGGTTTCATGAAATGTGTGGTTGGAATTAATTGTTTAATTTGATTTAGATTTTTATCAATTATTTTAGCTAAATCAAATCGGGATATAGTCCTTATTTGTCTCTTGTTTATAATTAGTTAAACTAATTTTTATCTATATATTTTATGAGAATCATTTTTATTTATTTATAATGTAAATAGATTATAAACAACTCTAGGATATGCTTTTATTCGTATTTAATCTTTTATTAAATTGATTAATGAGAGGAGTGATTCGCGCTGTGGATTCAATGATCGTTGAATAGTTAGAGGGTTGAAAAGATTAGAAGACTAAAGAAAAACATTAATAGTTCTCTGCAGTGGTAATTCTTAATATAGGTTCGAAGTTTTGAATAGATACAGCAAAGCTAAACAGTTCATTATTTCCTCAGAGTGCTTAAGCTCAAATGAAGAAAGGAATAACTTAGATTGCCTTGACGTTGACTTGGGCTTCAGTATACTTGAGGAGCTTGGATAATCCAGCTGATCTGATCCGTGCAAGTGTAGTCTCACGGCAGGGGTGGACCCAGCCTTTCTAGGTTGTGGGATAAAAAATTAATGTGTAACTTTTCAAAATAATATAATATTAATGAAAATAAGTTAATATGCATTTTGACACCTTGAAAATGACTTATAATTATATCATTATCAATAGTGTTAAATAAATTTTGCTAAATGTATAATTTTGTTTACCGTGTCATTTTTACATGTTGAGTTAACGGTAAATAAATCAAATTGGATGTAGGAAATAAATGAATTGAAATAAATTTCACATTTAATTTATGAAGTAAATGAAATTTAAGTTTAACGAAAAATAATTTGAAAGTAATTCAAATTACATTTAATTCATAACGATTTTAAAATTTTTGACGTCATCTTTCATGTAAAATTTCCTAATAAAATGATGTAAATTATATTAAAAAATTTATCGCACAAAAATAATAAACGTTAATGAAATATTGAATTTCCTTAAAAGAAAAAACGAGTTAAACGTCTTTTCTAGTACGTATGTTTGACATATATTTAACTATTTTCAATATACGTTTGGACCATTCGATATGACTACAATGTAGTTCTCAAAACAAGCTTCTAGATGATGTAGGCAATTTGTGGATTCGAATAATAGATGATCATTGGCAAATTTTGAAAGTTAGCATATTATCGAACTTTTGAAATACTAATTCGGAAAGGCTCATTTTGATACATCATAACTTTGTTACGGTTGATCATTCGCACGTCATTAAGAAGCGAAAAACTAGGTTATGAATACTTCGTATTGACATTAAGAATGTAATGTTCCGACTTCATTTGACATGTATTAAAGTAGATCATAAAACGGTTAAAACAATTATTTAAAAAAAAAAATCCCAAAATTTTGTGGGGTCATTTGACCCCACATGACCCCATGTGGGTCTGCCCCTGTCTCACGGTCTTGGCTCCATTTCGGGGAGCTGCAAAAGTAGAATAAGTTTAGCTCGTTATTGATGATTATTGTCATTATTTATGATGCATTTCCTTAGTATATATTATTGGCATCAACCTGTTGGAATAATTCTAATATGTGCTTCCTATTTGATTGTAAAATTTACGGGTTTAATGTATGATTCATAATGATATTTGTAATTGGGTCAAATATATTAAGTGGTCAATTGGACTATTTTACACCTTACGGGTTATATTTTATATAAGGAAAAAAATCACATTTCAAGTTTTATGTTTACCCTAATTCAAAAATCAGGTAAATAGTTTGAAAATTCAAAAATCAAGTATATATTAAAAATATTTATTAAATAAAGATAATAAAGTCACATTTACATGATTAATGGTCACATATTCATAATCATGGATCACAGATTTATTTACTTGTCACATAATAGATTATTTTGTAAGTCACATATTATTTCAAGGTCACAAATCATTCAAATTACATGTCACATTTTATCAATGTGTCACATAAGTCACAATTTATTGGTCACAAATCATTTTTCAGTTTCAGACATTTAATATTTAGTCACAAATCAACCAAATAGTTGGTCACAAACGCTTAATTGTTGGTCATAGATGCCCCATCTGTCACCATTATCGCCATCGCAACAACCGCCCCCACCACCACCATCACCACCAACAACAACACAACAGTTGGCACCCACCGCCTCCAGAACCACCATCATCTCACCAACATGAGCATCATCACCTCCCGTAACCACCATCATGAGCACCACGGTGCTGTAACATCACCACACCACCACCGCACAACGCAGCACCAACAGCACACCACCACCATTTCCTTTATCTCCATTTACATCACACCTAACCACCACCCCCCAAATGTATGAAATCGTCGACCTAAACGTATGAATCGCCGGTGATATCCCACTGTGAAATCACCAACCCAAATGGTGGTGACTGACTGCCGGAGAGAGAAGATAGAATTTTCGACCCCATCAGAGAAGGTGCGGCTCCGTTTGAGAAGGCGGCAATTCATGAGAAAGAAGAGAGAGAACTGACGGCGTCGAAGAGAGAAGATAGAAAGCGCAGCAGTACATCATCGTTGGCGCCTCTCATTATCATCGTTGCCAAAGGTTGGGTCGCCGACGTCCAAGAGAGAAAAGGGAGAATGAGAGCTGTTACAAATGTAGAGAGGAGAGGGAGAGAAAAATTAGGATTTTGCCGTTTGAGTGGGTATTCTATTTAATTATATAGTACCTGAATTTTGATTAAACATACTTCTCACCTGATTTTTGTATCATGAACTTGAAATAACTGGGATGTGTAATTTCCACTTTATATAATGTGGTAATTTTAAGTATGTGGGCCGGAAATATATATAAACCCTAGTTAGAGTTTAAGTCGTATTGAGATGGTTCAAAAATTTCCTATATAAAGGCTAAGTCTCATTTTCTCTCCATATTGTTTATTAGCTTGTCTCATTGACGACTAATACTTTGTGAAGGGTAAGAAAGGAAAGATCTAGCTACTATTATTCATATCAATAATGTCTTCTGCAAGTATGCATTTGAATTATCAATTATTATTTTGTGATTCTTGTGTCTCAGCATGATTATTGTTACATCCATCAATTGAGATCAAAGCCTACATGCTAAGACATAATCCTTCACCCAAAAAAAATAAAAAATAATTGTGTTCCTAGATTTTCGTATTTTTGAGCTGTTGAGAGAATAGAGTCCACACTCGACAAATACTTTTTTGACTTATATGTGCTCACTATGCTGTTAAATCATGCACTACCTATTATATGCCCCTACAACCTCAACTTCATGGTCCAGTCCTTAACAACCTATTATATGCCTCCACGGAACTTAATCTTAGGGCCTGTTTGATAGCCTCGTTTCTTTTTCTTTCTTTTTCTTTTTTTTTTTATATAGGAAATGGAAAAAATTTCCACCCAAAAATAGTTGTTTGACGGCCAAAAAAATCCATGGAATTAGTTTTCCAATTTCCCCTCACGTGATGTCATTTTCTTGGTTTTTAAGGAATTCCAATTCGTTTGACTTTGGTGGGAATTGGATTTTTGTTTTTTTTTTTTTTTTGAAATGGAAACAAATTCTATCCACAATTGTAACAAATTTTATCCATCTAATTGACAATTTTCATAAAAAACAAAGCTATACGAACACAAAAAGATCCAAAATTTCAACATTTTTCAAGTGAAAAATTATATCAGTTAAACACATTTTATTCTCAATTCTCAGTAAAACAAGTTCTAGACAATTCAATTCCTTGAAATTCATTTTCTTTCCACCCAAATTCCATTCTTGCAATCAAACGTACTCTTAATTCACATATCAATCTGTCAATTCCTGCTTTTGATTTATATATATAAAATATTAGTCGGGGACATACACATTATTTTCTCTCTCTTTATTTAGGTTTTCTCTCTTCCTCTCTCCCCTCTCAAATTCGTAAATGTCGGTAAGGCTGCATTTGATTGCGAGAATGGAATTTGTATGAAGAGAAAATATTTTCTAGGTAATTAAATTGCCTAGAAATGGTTTACATGGAAATTGTTAATGATAGGTGCTTGATTGACTTAATTTTCTACCTAGAAAGTATTGCATTTTTCCCTTTTTTGGTGTTTGATAGCTATTATTTTGCATGTAAATAACTAGTTTTTCCAGCTTTAGTTGTTTGAAAGCCATTATTTTCTATGGAAATTATCTCTTTTTCCAGGGAAATTGTCATTTTTTTTTATGACAATTAGGGTTCGTTTGATGGTAAAGATGGAATTTAGATGGAAAGAAAACGAATTCTAGGGAATATAATTATCTAGAAATTATTTTCTTGAGAATTGTAAATTATTATATTTGATTGATATAATTTTTCACGTGAAAAATGTTGAAATAAAAGTATTTTTTTATGTTCGTTTGACTTTATTTTACATAAAAATTGTCAATTAAA